GTCGTTGTCTTTCTTCTGGAGTTAATCGAGTTCTGCATACCTGCATCGGCTCAGGGTCTGATTCTGTTTGTTGTGAGAGATGACTGGCCGCTGGCTCCAACTTCCGGGGAGGGAAGCGCGGTGCATCATGGGGAATGTAGTCCCGTTCGCGTCTTCGTTCCCGGAGACAGTTGTCAATACGAATTGAGATTCGGATCAATTCATCCAAGGTCTGGGGATCTTCTCGGGTGGCGAGCTGATCTTTAATGCTGTTATTTAAAGAGTTCAGGTATGTACCTCTTAATGCGAGCTCATCCCAGCCTGCCTCCTCGGCGGCTATCCGGAAGTCCACGGAGTGTTCGGCGCGGATCTGGTCCCTTGCCTGAGAGATATCAGACGTTTTGCTGCTGCCTCCTGGTGGAGAGGGTGATCAAACACTGACTTAAAATCCTTCAAGAATTCATCTATTGTTAACAAATCGGGATGATGTGAGGATAGGTAGGCTTGTGCCCACCGTAARGCTCGACCTTTTAGATTATTGACCACAAATATGATTTTAGAACTGTGTGTGGGGAATAATGATGGAGAACGGACGAATGACAAATTGCATTGCAACAGAAAACCTCCACACAGGTTGGTATCACCCTCAAAATGTTCAGCAGGACGGAAATCCGGTTCCCGAGTAGGWAATGTTGTGGTGCTGGGAACAGGTGACAAAACAGCAGATGATGAGGAACCAGTAGCTAGCCTTTTTTCCAAACTATCCACATTATGAGCTAGTTGACCAATAATCTGTATATTGTTCTGGTGGTCCTGACGTAGGTGCAAATACATATTGTAAAGTTCGTCAAATTTAGAATCTTGTGTCTGACTGGGCCCGGGATCCTGTGCCTTGCTGGTCATGCTCATAATGTTTGGCTGAAGCAAACTATCACGTGTCAAGGCAGATGAGCAGACCAGCAAGGAAACTCACAGGAAACCAAGTTAAAATATTAACAATGTTTATTTTACAGGTGTGGGGAAGGAATGTGCAGGGATCCAAATCTGAGGAGGAGGAGATCGACAGGTGAGTATCCAAGTCTTGTAGTTTATGAGATACAGGTTGTAGATGAAACCTTTTTTACCTTGTCTCTGACTCTGTTCATTACTACTCTGCTTATTTGTTGGCAAACTCTGAAATCCTGTCAAAGAAGAAGAATACCGAGGAGGGGAAAAACAGCTGAGGAGAAAAGATGAGTAATGATGCAAGGAAGACACAAGAGGGAGACTGCAGACAAAACACAATCCCAACAGGTCTGTGTCATGGGGAAAATGGCACGGATGGATAAGTGTGTTCAAAGCAAATAAAATGTGATGCCTATATTAACACATGGTGGATACTGATATGATGAATATTAGCAAATTAGCTACTAACAATTTCTTAGCCTAGATAGCCTCTTAGCACTAGAGTTGCAATAGGAAGTACAACTTGGAAATACTAATTGAGCTCAGCTTTGGAAAGTATGTTTAATGGTCCAAAGTTACAATTACATGCAATGATTGAGTAGATTAAAATAATTCAGTGTAATATTTACTAAGTCAAGTACACCTGACCTGAAGTAAATTAACAAGTACATGCTACTTGGTTTTGTTACTTACTTAAAATCACATATTAGTGTACTCTACAAAGAAAGTACAATATTTAGTTTAGTAGTTGTTTTTTTAAGTTAACTCAGTTTACAAGCTTTTTTAATGATAACTAATTGAATTTTACAGTGTACTATCTGGTGCACACAAATTAGCTAGTAGCCTAACTGGTGCACATGAGAGTATTTATTTTATCCAGTGTCCCTTTAGGAGATCAGCAATGGTAAATGAGAGTAATTACTACAATATGAAACATGTAATGTATAAAATCACCACAAGGTGGCGGGATCTCACAGATAAAGCAGCATCTGAAGTCAAATATGTTGTGGTTGTTGTTGTTTTTGTTTTTTTTTTACATTTTTGATGAAAATTAATTCACAAGCTTTAGTTTTCATTTGAAACATCACTTCAACTCAAATAATATTTTAGAGTGTAGTATAGTGTTTATATAGTAATTTCAAACATTTATTGTGTTTGTTAGTGGCCTTTTTTAAATTTTAGCTTATCAGATGGAAAATGTTTCATTGAGGTTATGAATATTCATAGCTCAGGTCAAAATGTTGATCAGGAAAAAAATCCTTTAGGTTTAAACTATAAACAGGTGCTCACAGCAGTTCATGCGCATGGCATGCGCGTGCTCCTGTTTAATCCTGGGCGCTCCGCGGCAGTCTGTCTATCTGTCAGAGGGAGCAGCCAGACCTCCTCACATCAAGTGGTCACGGCTCGGTGTCGGTTCCGGTGGGTCTCGCTCTTCCAGGTGCCGCTGAACGGAACACCTTCCGCGGATGCTTTTTTGCGCAGAAACCCCCTTCATCAGCACCCAGACCTCCTCCTCCTCCTCCTCCATCAGAGCCGCAGCTGGTTCATCAGAGCGGGTCTCCAGGAGCTCTGTGAAGAGGGGATGATGCCAGAACCGCCTCGGCTCTCCATCTCCCCTCCGTCCCAGCTCCCGTGTCTTTTCCTTGTTTGGTTTTAGATGTTTGTCAGGGGGATCGTTAGGATTTTCTCTGAAATTATGTTCACATTTGCTGCCTTCTGCTACATGCTGTCTCTGGTCCTCTGTGTCTCCCTCATCTTCTTTGCAATATGGCACGTGAGTAGCCTATACCTCCGATCTGCTGCTATGTTTTATATTTGACAGTTTCTTTTCAGATATCATGTCAGCTGTTTGATTATCACTGCTTGATATTATTCATATCACCATCCAAAGGTGCAGGTGAGGTAATGTTTTTGCTTGTCTGCCTGTGTTTTCTTGTTAGCAAAATATTGTGTGAATTAACCTACAAGGTGGATTGTAAAGAAATCACTGGATGCATTTCAAAAAGATTAACTTTTGGAGTTAACTTGACTCAAGATGGCAAGCAGAACCAACTGAAAACACATAAATGATCAAAACTCAGTCAGTTTTACATGGAGATAATATTTAGTGTGGTAAATGCGTAATTTTAGGTCCACCATTGGGGGAATGGGGGGAATACTCTATCTGCCTTTTTTATTAATTAACTGAATTATTTGCGTTTGTAAAACAACTCCATTGCATTGTAATTCTTTTAATGTGATTTACTTTCCTGTGTAACTGCAAACTAAAACCTTGCGCGCAATTTTAAGCCATTCTGCTTAAATGTATATAAGATGTATATTTTTACATCAAGTCAAAGTCACCTAAAGACAACAAGAGAGTTGCAGCTGTACTTAACCAGATAATTTCTATTGTGTTAGAGCATATGCAAAGCACAGATGCACCAGAACTTAGAAGTCACCAGAACAGATTTATTGTTTTATATGGGGGTCCGGAGGGGGTGTGGGGCACACATTGGTGGACCATGGATACACCTTCATCAGCACTAAACAACAAATCGGAAGCTGCTATGTTTATTAGTTTTTTAGTTATAGGCATTTTTGTGTGTCCAGACACACAAAAATGTTACATTAGACCCCCTCCTCAAATATGGGGTCTACTGTAAAACCATTGGCAGACACAATGTAGGTTGGCCAAATCTCTATTCCTACCAAATTTCATGCTGCTCGGTGTATCCCAAAATTTTATTTTTTGGGTAGGGGTTTGAGCTGTGTGGGGGGGTGGAGGGGTGGGGTGTGTCATTTGTGGGCCTGATGGATAGCCTTCATAAGAGCTAAAAAACAAATAAATCTAAGGCTCCTATGTTGAATGGTTTTTAAATTACAGTATAAGCAATTTTGTATGTCCAGACATCCCATTTTCAGATGCAACTCCCTCCTCAAGTATGGGGGCTATCGTAAAACAGTTGGTTGGCGCAGTTAGGGATGGGTGATATAATATTTATCACAATAATTTCTAGGTTTTATCACAATAATT